CTCAGGTCTCTTCCGACCCTAGAAACTATGAAACTATGGAAGAGACCTGACCTGTGGGGAGGGAAAATTGGAGGACTTAAGCCTGCAGTCCCTTGTAGACCTGCTCTTAGATTGGGTATTCACACCATTTCTTTCAGGTGGAGGTAGAAAGAGCCCAGGAGGAGGAGACCCCACTGGAGGAGGAGGAGAGACGTCAGATGGAGGAAATCCTGAGGCTGGAGAAGGAGATTGAGAAGCTGCAAGAGCAGCAGAAGGCAGATCACATGTCCATCATCTGTGAAAACACCAGGAATGAGATCAGCCGGCAGCGAGAGGAGGAGATCCAGCGGCTGGAAAAGGAGGCATCCAGGGTCGCTCAAGAATTCTTGGAGCTGCTGGACTTTGGAAACCTGGATGAAAGTGTGCAGGGCCTGGAGCGCACACTCTCCAACGAAGGAACCCTCAGCATGGACTCCAGCCTTGTGGCGCCCCTGGCTGAGGAGGAGGTTGATGAAGGCTTTCATGCTGATGATGAGGGACCACCTGTCCCTGGCCTGGTTGGACAGGATGAGCACAGCTCCAGAACCAACGAGACATGTTCTGAGGAAGACAGAGGCATAAGTCAGACATTTCTGCTACAAAAGGACGTGGAGATGAGGAATGCTCTGGGTCTGCCTCTGGAGAGGTCAGGAAGCCCTGAGGAGCACAGTGCTCTATCAGACACTGCCGAAAGTGTTTATAACACCATCTCAGAAACACTGAGGAGCAACAGTGGGGAGGTGGGAGAGCCTGTCTACAGCTTACCCCCAGACGTGGAGTCTGACTATGACCACGAGGAGTTTGATGGCTTTGGAGATGCAGGCAGCACTTCTGCTGAGCCCCTGAATGGTGAAGATGCCTTGAGGGCTTCCCATGGGACCAGCATGGGCTCAAACCGTGGCAGCCTGGACTCGGTGAGAATCTTTGTATTTCACTAAGAGTCAGTATTGCTTTGCTGGCATTTGTCACCTCTGTGCCTACAGTAATATCAGCCTGATGCACTAGTTCTCTGGCTTTCTGGGTTGGAGTGCCATTACCTGCATATAATACTCTCGTTTCCAGTTCTAGAGCTGGGACATTGATGATAGGCATTAGGGGAGAGAAGATGAGGTATGGGCAACAGGGAATTAACAGAAACCCAGAGATGATGAGGCTGTCATGTATTGCAGATGCACACTGGACAGTGGATTTCTCTGCAGTGATTATACACTTCTCCACCCCCATAGTATCAGAGTGCCTTCCAGTAGTGCTGGAAGCAGTGTGACTAGCATCCATGTAGTGCCAGTGGTCTCATTATGGAGAGAGAGCACAGGAGCAGTCCAGGTCTCTCCAGAGGAGTTGCAGCGAGTCGGAGGGAGACAAGGGGCTGAAGAATCCACTTGTCTCTGCTTGAGCCATTGGGCTCAGAGTAGAAATCTGATGAGAAAATCTTCCTTCGTGACTTCTCCAGTCACCCAATGTGGACAGATAAACAGTGGCTGTGACCAGAAGAGACTGGGCTGACCTGCCCAGCACAGGCCCCAGAATGCCCGTGGTTTTCAGCAGGGGAGCTGCAGGGAGTAAACACAGCTCTGGGACCTGGCAAAACCCTGGTGAAGTTCCCAGCTGGGCCATGGATGTCTACATGTCCTTGGGCAGGTCCATGGGTGATAGGGCTATAACTTCCCTCCCTCCCAGATACGTTGTGGGGATAAATCCTAGAGCATGAGTTGTTCAGTTGCTGTGGTAATGCAGGCCATAAAATTACCACAGATCAGCAACTGCTGAGACCAGTGACTTGGGGTTGAATGAACTACAGTGTATCCATTAGAAAGATATCCAGTGTTTGCTAGAGGATTAACTTACTAGCCCTTCACTGTTCAGTTCTAGTGACTAATTGTGATTGCTGTTGAAAAGTTCCCTGGGTTTCCAGTTTGAATTTCTTTAATGTCATCCTCCAGCCATTGGTGGTTGCATGTGGATCTTCTCTTCATGCAGCTACTTACATGGTCAAGTTGCCTCTCTCCTTGGTGAGGCCTTTCCATGGCAGACAAATTATTCTATCCCTTGGATCATTCCCACACGTCTTACTCGGTCCTGACCAATTTTTAACATCCCTTTTAAGACACCAATGAGAGACCTGGACACAAGTCCAGCAGCCCCTGGGCGTGAGGATTCCAGTCGTTCCAGTCCCCAGCTAGTAGGAGGAAAGACCCTGGCCAATCTGATAACTAACCTCCCCAGGCTCGAACAGCAGGATCAGAACAGCAGCTGCAGAGATGGAGGGGCAACAATACCTGACTTGGAGAGGGGGGCAAGAGAGAAAGTGTGAATGAGATAGGAAAGAGATGAGGAGAAAGTCTGAGTGAACAAGGAGAGAGAGAGCAAGCAGTGTGGGGATGCGGACCGCAGGGTATCACGCTCTTGGTCAGCCGAAGGGAGACCTGTCAAGCCAGAGGGCACAAAGAGGAATCAGGAGTTGGGGAGTGGGCATGAGGGTGTTCCAGCTCAGGGCGCTGAGCACAGAACATTGCAGCAATGCTGAGTGGCTGATCCTTGGTATCGGTCCAGTCACAGCACGGACCCTGCGGGCACCTGCCTGTCTGCACACAGACTCAGGGGAAATATGACTGCCTCTGCTAATGCCGGCACGCAGTCCTCAGGGTGGTGGAGGGGATGGGCGGGAGTTAGCAGTTTAAGCAGCCACCTCGGATTGAGGGTAGTTCAAAGCAAGGGAAGAGCAAGATTTGCAGCAGCCATTCAGGGCTCTGGGTAGGAGGCTGAAAAACACATGTCAGTGGCTCTTACCTGAATCCTGTCCAGTTTCTAACATCCTTGTCAGAGGGCCTTGGCCTTAGAATAAATGTAGCCTAAATGAACAGCAAACATTTAAGAGCTGTAGGGATCTCGCTACTGGATCAGACTGGTGCTCCTTCCAATCCAGCATCATGCTGTGGACAGTAGCCAATATTATCACCCTATTACGAAGCACCTTGCCTGAGAGCACCCAGACTCGGGAGAGGGTTGTGAGGAGCTGTGTTGTAGGCAGCTCTGGGCTGGACCGGCCAAAGGAGTGTTCCTTTCCAGCCCTCATGGTTGGATATTGGTTTGTGCCGTGGAGCAGGAGTCATCACTGTGGTGAGTTTTTCAGGCATATTTACCACAGAATGTCTCCCTCCCTTCCCATATGAGAACTCGTTGCCATCTGATGTAATTAGCTTTTGGAACTGCTGGGTTTAGTGAGCTGTCAAGTCCCTATTTGAATTTTGTTTGCCTTCTGTGAAAGGGACATGTTGGGTCTAGTAGCTTGAGTTAAACATGTCCTGGTTCTGTGATTTGTGCATCTTAGTTGTGCTGTCATCCCCCCGCTCAAGAACTCAAGCAGCTGGTATCTTTCTTCTCCTTTCCATTTAGTTTCTGGACAGTGAGGAGGAAGTGGATGTTTACATAGACACAGATGAAGAATTTTGCAATGGCCGAGTCACCATCTTCAATGGCTCAGGACCACCCTACTTCCACAGCTATCTCTACATGAAGGGTAAGAAGCCATAAAAGCATGGGAGTGTCTTTCTCTGTACCATCTGCCGTCTCCCTCTGCCCCTTTCCTGTCTCTCTTGTTTACTTGCTTTCTCTCTGTTCGCTCTCCCCAAACCAGCAAAGAAAAAAAAATCTTGTGTAGAAGAGAGATGTGGAGAGGGCTATCATGGATGCCTCAGGCTGGGAAATCCTTTTAAACCACCTCATCATGGGGAGGTTTTCACCTCCTGTAGGAGCAGTGCTGAGCTACAGCAGTATTTTGGGGAAAGGAGAAAATGCAGAAATAGTTGGATGGATTGTGAGAGGGCTGGAGAAGCTCTAGGATTCCTGGGTGGCCTCACAGGAGATGCAGGTGGGGAGAAA